AAAAAAAAAGCCTGCACTGTGGCAGGAGCCTCTCGTCCCAGCTACTCAGGAAGCTGAGACAAGAGGATCACTTGAGCCCAGGAGTTGGAGGTTACTGTGAGCTATGATGCTACAGCATTCTACTGAGGGTGACAAAAGAGAAACTGTGTCTCAAAAAAGGTGATGGGGGGTGGGAGGTGGGAGCAGTGGCTCACACCTGTAATCCTAGCACTCTGGGAGGCCAAGACAGATGGACTTCCTGAGCTCATGGGTTCCAGACCAGCCTGAGCAAGAATAAGACTCCATCTCTAAAAATAGCCGGGCATTGTGGCAGGTGCCTATAGTCCCAGCTACTTGGGAGGCTGAAGCAAGAGAATCACTTGAACTCAAGGGTTTGAGGTTGCTGTGAGCTATGATATCATGGCACTCTATGGAGGGTGACAAAAGTGAGACTCTGTCTCAGAAAAAAAAAAAATTAAAAAAAAAAACAGGTTCTTGATGTGATTATGAAGTAGAACAGTCTTTTGTACAGGTAAAAATGGGGAGTGATAGATCAAAATCTGGTTGCTAATTTCTCCTTCAATAGTCAAAATATGTGATATAAATTAAAATCAAAGATATCATTATATAATTAAAGATGGCAGAGACCACACATGGGAGATTGCAAAAACAACCACAATATTTACAGATTGTGCAATACATCGTTGAAGTTTTTTTCTCCACTTACTGAATCTAAGCTGGCCCTGTACCTTGCTTTCTTTGCTAAGAGGAAACAATAGAAATGATGTGTAAGTTCTCAACCTACACCTCAAAACGCCTTTTAAATTCTATCCTTTCTGCAACCACCATGTGAAGAAAAACCTAGGTGTGACTGGGCTATGGGGTGCACAGACATTTGGTCAAATGTATTTCCAGATGAGACAAACTTTTGAATCAGCAGACTAATGGAAGCAGACAGAGCTGCGGAATGTGGGTGGGCATGAGCTAATCAATTCAAAGGCCTGGAAGAACAAGAAGGCTAAGAGGGAATTTCTGCTTAACTGCACTGACCTGGGGCATTAGTCTGTTGTCAGACTTAAACATCAGCTCTCCTGGGTCTCAAGCCTGTTGACTATCAGACCAGAACACCTTAGGCCAGTGGTTCTCAACCTTCCTAATGCCGTGGCCCTTGAACATAGTACCCACAGGTTGAGAACCACTGCCTTAGGCCCTCCTGCATCTTAGGCCTTCAGACTCAGACTGGAACTACACCATCAGCTTTCCTGGCTCTCCAGCTTGTCTAATGCAAGTTAGGGGACTTCTCAACCTCCAGAGTCAGAAGAATCAATTCTTCAAAATAAATCTCTCTCTCTCTCCACACATACACATTCTAAGGAGTCTACTTCTCTGGAGAACCCAGACTAACATAAATATACTAATATTTAAATTCCACATGAACTTTATGACTACCCTATAGTAGGCTTGCCTGCTGCAGGATGGGACACATACGACCCAGATTCTCCTGTTCACCCTGTCAACAGTCTGCCTATGACTGGAAATGTAAAAGATGCCATCCCAGGTCATCTAGACTTCAGCTAACCAGAGATGAATGAGGGAGGTCAGACATCAGTCCACCTGACCCAAACCAAAAGAACCAACGAAGCAACCCACAGAATCATGAGCAAAATAAAGGACGGGTTTTTATTAAGTCACTAATATTTCAGGGCAGCTCTTAAGCAGCAAAAGCTAACAGATACATCCCCGTTAGGCTTTAATTAAAGTTAAATAATGAACACAGTTTAGCTAAAATGAGTGCAACCTGCAGGAAGTTAAATTCCAAACTGTATAAGAAGCATTATGGGCATTTATACTACACAGCAGCATAGGAACAGTAGTGAAATTCAATTACAAGGGCTAAGGTTACTCCGGGGGGTAAAACTGTGGAAGAAAAGTCAAACAGAAAATTAAACTGCAGTGATATTGCAACCCGTAAGGTGGGTAGGAACCAAACAACTATGAGGGAAAAAACCCTAGGGGATATGCAAAAAATAGTCAACTTGGTCATACTTCAAAGGATTTCAATACGTCCTAAGAGTAAAGATGAAACAGGAAACATGGTATTTATGGTAGATAAATTGGAGTGAACGTGGATAGGCTGCTATGGCCAATTAGATAAATAACTGTAACGATATGATTAGTTAAGCATTAGACTCACCCAACGAACTTCTTTTAAAAGGACATATTCCTGGGACTCACTCACTCTCATAGACTGTTTCAGTAAGTGTGGGGTGAACTTAAAAATCCAAACTTCTTTTTTTTTTTT